CGAATTATTAGAAGCAGGACACATTTTCATCTGATTGAAATCCTACGGAGACAGATTGAAGCCAACTTGAAAGCGGGCGATATAAGTCACTGCGAAAAACGGTAGAAGCTTTTGTTCCACAGTGAACCTCCAGTCTGCATAGGATGGTAAAGGAAGTGTAACAAAAGACAGGAGATTTTGAGGTCGGATCACGTTGATATTGTCCACCTTGACCAGTTTATTTGGACTCATATGTTGACATAGATTTGACATTGTACTTCGTTTCAGTGAATACACAAACGCACAGCATTCAAGGGGTGAGCTGCAGCCATTAAGGTGCTGTCTGGGAGCACACACCGAAGGGAAAAAATCGGGTGGTGATGAGGGGATTCACACATCCTCCTGGGTGATACGTTGAAACCCTTACCGCTTGACCATCATCCGGATGTCGAAAGCAGAACGCCTCTGTATTTTGTGGTTAACTACTTTTCAAACATCACGTGGAAATTTGAATAATTATCAACCGATTTGCATTTGTCTTCGTGTTTCATGAGTATTCTGTCTGTTAATATTCGAACAACACCTATAACAATGCTTAAGCATCTACTAGTCTCCGTAATCGCCACCCAACCTAGGTAGTGGGTGGCTTCACCATCACCACCAACCCTAGTGAGATCTTACGTGTACTGCTTCACACCCGGGGGGCGGACTTGCTAATTGTTATAAGGAAACACTGTGTGTGGCATTCATTCCCTTTTCTTGTTCATCAGGCAGTGATATGAAGTGGATAAAACTTCGATGACTCCATCCTATGAGACACAAAGGAAAATATCAAAATATCGTGTAATAAAAATCGATTGGGAACGAAAAATGAGCAAACTCACATTTCGCATCGTATCGATTGCACTATGATGAATCAAAACAGGTTGTTCCAGTTCGTTTAACACCAGAGGCTCCGTGGGACTGGATTGTGTTGGGCACCGCTTGTCTGTTGAGATACCGTGTCCACTGCCTTCACCGGTTCGCATACTATCGCCGAGCTGCTTCTCAGTTGAGGAAGAGCCGGTGACTTCCCGCCGCTTAAACCCGAAGCGCTGGCGCCACCGGGACGGTCGCGCAGACGATTGTGGGAACTGTACGGCTTTTGACCAGATGTCGTTCCAGTAATGTCTCATGGTAGCATAGTGTGATGCATATCGGGTCCAATGAATCGTTTGTGGAGTGCGGTACACATTGGGAACACCAATAACCGCGGCGTGATAACTACATAGACGATCGGTGGATTGAGAGCTCCTATAACACAAGAGGCGTGCTGCGTGCAGCGCCTGTGTTGTATCTTCATCCAGATAGAATGGGGTAGCATGCAGAGAATGTTCGTATTCAGCAGTTTGACCGGGACGACAAGAGTCACCAGTTGGAATAGTANAGTATCGCGAGAAGACCGGCGCCACCAGCACAAACAAGGACAGAGCCACGACGATAAACAACTTGCAGGCCGATATTGACAATCAACCGGAAATGAGCATGTTTCATTTTGTTCACAATAAATAGATGGTTGTCTAAATCCATGCAAAGTCCCCTGGCCTGTTGCAATTGGACCAAACTGGGCGGGTGCTGCACCTCCATATCGTAGTGCATCAAATTGCATGACTTGGAAATAAGCCAGTGAGCAAGCTTCACATCGAGGATCAGTAGGTTTCCCCAGAATTGAAGACAGTAGTCGCCTGATACGCCAGCCCATCGGATAGGAGACCGCTGACACGGAAGACGAGGATGTGGAAGATGAATCTGCATCGCGCTCCACGAGACGCGTGGCCAAATAGCTTTCATCCTCGGCCGATAGGCCCACAATAATGCCACATGATTTTAGTATATCCAGTTTGCATAACGGACAACTTCGTTGTTCCAACAACCAAGGGTCGATGCATTTCTTATGATAGAAATGTCTGCAAGAAAAACAATAAATACCAATCATGTTATGATCAGTTACAGAGAGAAATGATCACCCCTCTATTTGTAACATAGCACCAACGAGTAAAACAATGTCGGGAAAAAGGTATGCAGTAAATTGCTCCACTACACAAAAATACACTCTGAATCTTTCCACATTTTACAATAGGTTGATTCATGCTGGTCAGAGGTTGAATTTGTATGAATCGAAAAACGTAACCTAACCATTACATCAAAAAAGCACTGTACTATGTCGTGTTAATGTGTGGGTTAGTTCGGAAAACATGAGTGTTTTGGATTACTAGCTCCGGATTCGAATCTGAGTGAATTAGTTGAAAATGTACCGCTAGCACATCGAATAAACGGGATGAAAAAGCCGTACAGAGTGAGGTTTAGTGGTTAAGTAACACGAAGGCCCTGCTAGACGAATCCATGTTTTGTGCAAACGGATGTTTGGCAGATTTGAAGTTTGTACGGCGATTGTGAAAAGTTCAGTAGCCTCGGTGGGGTTCGAACCCACGCATGGACGCCAGTTGAGCTACGACGCCACACCAATAGCACTGATCTTTTCACATTCGAAATACCCATCCAACTTACAGAGGCATATGGCATTCACCAACTGGCATGTAAGAGCGTACAAAGCGTAGGCGGCGTCGATGCGTGGGTTCGAATCCCAACGGGGCTACTGAACTTTTCACAATCGCCATACGAATCCATGTTTGACAAAACTGTTCACAAAATGACAGAGCCAACCCTAAGTACGACCTTATGCCACCAGCACCGTCAACTTCGCACATTCGCATTATCTGCCCCGCCAAACTGTCCCTCACACAATAAGCTAATATTAGCTTGACGTTATCAGTACTTCACTGAAAATTCCCATTGTGATATTGACAGAACAACACGAGTAGCGAACAAGCTCGTTTTCGATATTTAATGTGAATCTCTGCGGATTGTTATCAGAAGACATAAATGTAACAGATATGCTATAATTTTTTACAGATTAGATGCCTAAACAAATCCCACGTAACGATATTAGGCGATCTGATAACATATGACAGCGTACACACGTAAGGGATTTATATTAATTGTTTAAGGGAGTAAACAGAAGAACGGCACTTTCATAAAACTTAACCGTGTAACTCAAGCTCAATAAATAAACGTCTTATGGCTCATTCAGACTCCAACTCAGCTATCTGGTCCCGAAATACTTAATTTAGTCTAACGATCAACATCATTGCACCGTCCCCACAACTCAAGAACTAGCCACTCTTAGTCACTTTCCGGTTAATACATTAACAGCGGCTAGTACGCGGCTAGGTGTTATCTGGTGGCACATGCAACAAGTTTCGCGAATCGCTTTGCTCAGTATTCGACCCCGATTACACAGATTCGAACTAAAAATAGCTGTTTGTCTATCGGATAGTTGCACTGGCATTATTCGAGGACTACATTCTGGACTAGTTATAAAAACATTTCGGAGGGAGTTGGGTTGTTTGTGGTTGTCCCGTGACTGTTGATGACCGTTCCTACTCTCTGGATATCTACAGTTTTGATAACTGTAACTCAAATTTCATGAACCAGTAAATTGAATGAATCGGTCAATTTCCGTTCAACACTTTGATGCACGAAAACAAATTCAACGGTTGAGAGCATATTTTGATTGTAATACGATGGATGATTTGATCAACAACAGAGTCAACACAGCTCAGATAAAACTTTACTAGATGGCTTTCGATAAAAAATAAGTAACTCAACCACTTGCCAAGTGTTTCTCTTTTCAGCCTCAATCCGAATAATGATAAAACAGTTCAGTTCAGTTCAGTGTGAACAACCATTAACCACGCATATTCGAGCGCCGGTTTTGGTTGCTGTCTTTTGGCTGCCCATTTGGATGAAGAATAGGAGAAGAAAGGAAAGCTGAAAGTGGAGTCGAAAAGAAAATGGAGAATTTCAGTGGTCTAAGCTCGCAAAGAAATTGAGGAGATGCACGAACGCCACTGTTTGCGACACCCAGCCACATCACTCAGTGTCTCTAACCATCGGTTACGATCACCCTGAGGTCCCCAATCAGGGAGCCTAACAGGACTTAGGTGACCCAGTTTCCTGGTTAGGGTTTTCATACCCTCATGCCAGGTCTTAGCTTGACCGCCCTTCACTTTCTTACACCCACTACCTGGCTCGGCGAACATCGCTCGCCGTGGTAATCTATTTGGCGACATGCGTAACACATGTACCAGCCAACGTAATCTATGGAGGTCGACCACTTGCCCCAGTGGGCGACCGTATTTACCCAAAACTCTACCCCTAGCCTCAGCATTGCTCATCCGGCTACCCCACCAGATTCGTGCAATGCTGCGTAAACAGCGGTGTTCAAACACCGACAGTCTGTCATAATCTTGTTTTCTTAATTGCCAAGTTTCTGCACCGTATAGGAGAACTGGCCGAACCGCTGCAGCATACACTCGACCCTTCACAGACAGCCGGATGTCGCGACGGCGCTAC